GTGTCCAGCCTCCACTTGGAGGCTGGTCTGCAGAGCCTGATTCCTGGCATTCTGCGTGGGCTCTGTCGCCACTCAACCCCCCTTTACCGGGTTCCTGATCCCCATGTGTATGACTGTGTCGGGGTGTCTGTGTGTATGCGTTAGTGTGTATATGTGCGTGTGTCTGTGTGACTGTGTCTCTGTGTGAGTGTGTGTGCATCTGTGTGAATGTCTGTGTGTCTATGCGTCTGTATGGGTATGCACGTTCATGTGTGTGTGTGCAGGTGCCTGTGTATATGAGGCTCTAAGTGCACACAGAGGCCAAAGGTCAATCATGGATGTCTCCTCTGTGTCTCTCCACTTTGGTTTTTGACCCAAGGTTTCCCATTTTTACCTGGATCTGGGACAGTTAGCCATAGAACACTGAACACCAAAGGCCTCCCCGGGGCTTTAACATAGGTTCTGGGGATCAAACTCAGATCATGTGCTTACAGAGCAAAGACTTCACTGACTGAGCCACCTCACCAGCTTTGGCTAAGACCTTTTACCATCTGACTGCCACATGCTGTCCCCAAGGCCATACTCCAACCCAACTGCAGTTTCCCACACACAGTATTGCCCCTGGGTGTGGTCCATGGCCTAGGTCCTCCTACTTCCTGGAGTGACAGCGTCTTCCTACCACTGTCTTCTGCCCATCTTCTGCCTGACTAACTCAGCACACTGGAGGTCTCAAGCCTCCCAGCTGGGGAGATCTAGGTTTCCTGGCACCAAATTCTGAGGCAGTGACAGGAGCGGCCTATGACCCCACCTTGCCTGCAAGGACAGATAACCTAGGTACCTAGGTAACTTGGATTGCTGCAAGGAGAGACTGGCCAAGAAGCCACAGAAGGGAGAATATTTAGGGGAACGTCACCTGCAGCTGACTGAACTCAATATCCATCAAAGGTGACTGAGAATCAACCTGTACTCAGCTAGGGCAGCAGCTGCCACAGACTGGCATGGCAGGAAAGGTTAAGGACACAAAAGAAACCCCAGTGAATGGGAGAAGCCAGGGCAAAAGGAGGCAGGCAGGGCAATCTCAAATAGGTTAAACTATGAAAGCACAGGAAGAGAGCAAACTGGTGGTTGTCTGGGGTGTAGAGCTCCAGCGGAGGAAGGAACACAGAAAACTCAGGCAAGGACATGCTCCACAGCCTGACGTGGTGTCGCTGCATGAGTCCTGAGCCACACTCAGTGCAGTGAATACAGGGGAGAAAACGTGAAAAGATTAGATCAGGAATAGGAGTTCAGTGCAGTGGATACAGGGGAGAAAACGCGACAAGATTAGATCAGGAACAGGAGGCCCCTCCCAGGACTCAGCACAGAGTAGGCATTCAACAAATCTTAGCTCATGCTTGACAGCAGAGAGGGCCTCAGCGCAGCTGGAGACACTACCTGGAACAAGTGGGAGTCGCCCCCACTCTCAAGTTCACTAGCCAGATTCTAGGCTGACTGGCCAAATTCCAAGTTTACCAGGGCCTGACCCCTTAAGACAAGCTCCTCTTGCTGACTGAGAAAGAAAAACAACAGCTGGTCCTCAGCCTGAAGGAAAAACAACTGGTCCAGGGTATGGTGGAGTAAAACTGTGTTTGGGATGAACCGACAGACTTTGGGGCTGCAGAAGAGAACTGAAGAGATGGTGGGAAGGAATGGTGTCAGCTCATCAGGAACCTGGCAGCAGGGAGGGGTGAGGCCGACACAGGATAGCTGGCAAAGCAGGGTCCAGGGCAAGCACAATGCGCAGTCCTTCCACAAAGGCAGTGCTGGGCAATGGGAGCCCAGAGTATGCTCAACTTCACTTCATCTGTCCAGAGCAACCTGCCAAGGATTTGCATCTGGTCAGATGTGTGTCTTACAGAAACAGGTCCCACCTAGATGGGACAGGCTAGCAACTTCTCAGAGTCCCAACATCTGCATACTTCACCTGCAGATTCCCGAGAAGATCATCAGGACTGCACACGAAGATTATTATTTATAGTAAGTCTTATTACTTATAATATCCCAGATTCCAAAATAACTTAAAAGTCCTATAAAGGGGACTGCTACACAGATTACAGGGCACTGAGTAATTGAATCATATCATGCCATTAAATCATGCTTCCAGAGCACATGGATGGCAGGGTACATGCCTCACTCCATACTTTTAAGTTGCAGAAGAGCAGGCCTTAAAAATACATATTAGTTGAACCTTCAGTTCTCAAATATTCATTATCTGTTAAGGGCCAGGCACTGCCCTGCACACTGAGTACTTCAGAATACAGGCACCATCTTCACACTGGAGACGTGGAATGCTACCCCGTGGGGAATGAAGGAAGGCAGACTGCAGAGAATTAACAGCAGTGGGTAAAATACACGGGACCTGGGATGGCAGATGCCACCGGGGGGCAGATTCTTCCCAATCCAAACATCTCCTCCTAGAGGAGGGCAGGGCGGATCATGAGGCCGGAAGTAGGCAGAAGGTCCGGGACAGCAAGCACTTGGACCCGGGACTCTCGGGCTTTTGGGAAGGAGTGACCACTGCTGGTGACCCCTGACCAGCCCAGCAGAAGACAGGAGAGATTCCCTGTGCGGACGCTTGCCAGCTGTGAAGAGAGCCCCAGAACCAGTGTTCCTGAGCCATCGCATGTCGGGGAGGGCTTTCCAGGGATGCAGTTGCTTTTGAGGCACCCTTGCTCCTGTTAGGTAACTCTTCACCCATATACCTGTTAGTAGCCCCCCCGCCCATCATTAGTTCACAACATTGGAGGCTACTGCAAATGTTGCTTCGGTCTGTAGAGGGGTGTGGGTGTGGGTGGGCATTGGGTGTTTCTGTATGTTGTATCTTCTAAGGAAAATTCTGTCACACAGAACAGGCAGGGGAAATCCCAGTCCTCAGGGTGCAGAGAAGGGTCAGAAGGTCAGAGATAAGCCAGGTATGGTATTGCCCAGAGAAACAAACCAGAAAGCGAGGGCCGTAACTCCACTGATGACCACGAGGATGTTGGGCAAAGAATGTCATGTGTTCACAGGGTCTTAGTATGATCAAATTACTGCCCTTTTGTAAAACAGAAGGCTTACTTTAGCTCACTGTGCCAGAGGCTTCCACCATGGCAGATGGGTGTGGAGGAAGGAAGCGGCTCACATCCTGGCAGCCAGAAAGCACAGAGAGAGAATGCCTGCCCTCACTGGCCCTCCCGCTCCACCTCCTCCCTTCTATCCCAGCTCATGGGATGGTACCACACACACTCAGCGGAGATCCCAAACCCTCGGCTCTCCTCCTGCTGGGATTACGGTTGGGAACAATCACTCTCATAATTATAAAAGAAAGACAACTGAGGTGCAAGAACTACAAAAGAGAGAAAAAGAACCCCTGCAGAGCCTCATTATCCCAGCGACCGTGCCTTTCCCTCCAATCTTTCTACACAGACAAAGCAAGCGGCAGAGGCTGCTCACGTCATGGTGTGCAGAACTCTGAGCAGGGATGGGAATGGGGCCAGGTATGATCTTAGAGCTGTGCTCCTCCTGGCCACTCTCCCCAGTCAGGCCCCACAGCCTGCTGTCTCCACCTCCCAACATAGTGCCATCAGCTGGCAATCAAGTGTACAACGAATGGGGGTGGGCACTGCAAATCTGGACCCTCAAAATGAGACCATCAGATGGGTTTGAACAGCATGAGGATGATCGAGAACGGGAACTGTGGAGGAGAAGCCATGGGCCCAGGATACCAAGGTGGGTCTATCTGAGTGAGATGATGGGCACAACAGTGTAAGGGCATGAGATGGAAGCAATTGCAAACAGGAGAAGCTGGGTTTGGCTTTGGTGACATGGATGGCGTATCTGTGAAGAAGCCCAGCTGTCTGTCCCTCAAAGAGCACTGGGACCTTACTCTAGAAGGATGTGAGGAGGAAGGAAGAGAAGAAGAAAGGGAAAAGGACAGGGTGAAGAAGATTCCAAATACCTGCTGCTATTCACCAAACTTTGTGCTAAAAGCTCCACACACTTCATTCCATCTCTAATCACCACATCGCCCTGTGACAGGGATACAGCCCATTTCATGCCCTGGGACCAAGTCTGCAGTCAAGAGGCCTGGTGATTATCACTCTAAAACAGCCCTTGAATCAACCCCCCACCCCCAGAAGTGCAAGGGCTCTTCTCTCTTTTGCCTTCACCTTCACAGAAGTTTAAAGCGTTCCTCAGGCATCCGAGGAAGCTGTATTTTAAGACACATTCATGGAAACTGTTGAGTGTGTGCTCCTCATTTTCTGTGACCCAAAAGAAAGAGAGATCTCTTCCATGTTACATGCCATTCTTCATGACTAGAACCTACTAAGCTCATTATCTGTCAGTGGGTCTCCCCTACTTACCAGAATAACCTCCTGCATTCCCCAGAAACAGCCTGATGCACACAGTAGGTACCCAGGACACTATCTCAGCACGTACTCTGTCATGATAACTTGAACATCCTTTACCTGTCACACCAGGGCCATGTCCTGAATCCTCGAACCTGGGGCACTGATTGTAGGCGATGGCACAAACCCCACTTGCCAGATGAGACAAAGCTTAGCCCAGATTGAAAAGAGGAAAATGATGGTTGGGTGGACTTCGGGGAGCCGGGGCAGTCAGACACAGGACATTTTCTTCTACAGTCAGCTAACAGAGAATGTACAAAAACCTGGTCCACAGGCTGAGTTCAGCCCACCCATATGGACTGCTTACTGACTCATAGCTGTAAGTGCCTGCCTACCTAGTTGGTTGGTTTATTTCTCTGAGATCATGTCTTGTCGTGTGGTCCAGGTTGTCCTGCATCTCTCCATCCTTTTGTCTCAGCCTCCAAAATGCTGAGATGACTGGTGTGGGCCATCTCACTCAGGCTGTTATTTAAAGCAGCCCCTCTCTGGTAAAGAGGGATACAAAAGCCTAACTCTCTAAACTGTCCTCCCTTAGACTTAGGGCTAGGCCTCATCCTACACTGTGTCCCGGCCAGATACCCTCCTTGTACTCACCGGCAGTCAGCGTGGTGAACTCCAGAAAGCGGTATTCATAGGTCACATCTACCTTGGTCTCCACCTGAGGTCTCTTCAGAGTTGAGTAAATGTTCCCAGGCCGCTTCTCTTCACGCTTCTCCAACTTGTTCAGGCTACAACCCATTTCGACAGCTGTCCACAAAAGCGAGACAAACAAGGGGAGGTGGAGATGTTCTGTCATTAATTTTGAAACACCACTGCACAAAAGACTCCCAATTTTCTGGAGCGATACATCAAAGACCTCCATGCCCAGGAAACCACACGTGTGATTTACTACATCCTGAACACAGGGGACGGGGCCACCTTCTCTTCTTATGAGGACGCCATTACCAGCCATCCTGGGAGAGCTGGGTGACCCCCAAAGTGTCCCTGCTTTGTATCTTTTCTCCTCCATCTGAGGAAAATAATACCTCAGAGTCGCTCCCTCCACTATCATCTGCACACATGATTAAAAAAAAATAGGGCCTAAAAAGCAATACTGTGTATTATGTTGTCAGCCCATCTGCAGAAATACAAGACACGTGTCACCTTCCACACGGTTGCTAAGGGAGAATAATAAGTTGTTGTTATAGTCTCTAAACTCTGGAGTCTCTTCCTCCCGCAACAGTAATTATTTAGACAGGAATTGATATTCAAACATCTCAAAAAGTAGATCTCGGTATTTTTATGGGCTTTGTCTAACAGTCACCCCTTCTCTTCTTTTTCAGACCAACGGCAGGAAATGAGCATAGGCGCCCCCCACTTCCAGTCATTTCAGGCTGAAAGGAAAGTGACAGAGCATAACAGGGCCAGCGAGATATCAAGCAGCATCCACACACGTTGGAAGATCACTAGCCTCAGCTCGCCAAGGGGGTGGAGAAATGGGCACACAATAAACGGAGAGTGGGATTCTGTTTATTGGGGCCTTATTTATTTGTATGGGTTTCTGTGTTTATTTAGACAGAATGGCATTCATAAGGTGACCTTTTATGGGAAGGTTAAGTTCCATTTGTACCCTGGGCATGAACTGTTCCTCCTCTCGGGGACACTGACTGCCATGGGAATATGTTTCCTTAGAATACAAACTGTCCAAGAATATCAGAGAGCAAGAGGGAGAGACAGAGAGACAGGCACAAATACACACACACACAGGCAAGGACTACTTCCTCTAAACACAAGGATTTCCTCCACTGATTCATTCATAGGGTTCCCAGTTTCCTAAAGCAATTTGGCAAGTTTCAGAAAAACAAACTGAACTTCAAAAAGGTAATGAGGGCATGGGATGGGGACTGGAAAGAGGTAGGTGACACAACCACAGCCTGCCTCAGTTTTGTACTAATTAAAAAAGGAGCCAGAGAGAATGGATAGGAACCGGAAGGCTGACTTCTGCCTTAATAAGGGAACATTAGTGTCCGAGAACCGGAGCACACATGATTTATGCGCAGTCTGTGTGAACTGATAACTTGGAAACTACTTGCTCATTCTGCAGACGCAACAGCTCCTGTGTGCAGAGGCTGCTGAAGAAACTGTGCACAGCAAACTGTTGCCATGTGCAGGGAGTGTAGAAAGCAATGGACAGGAGGCTCCTGAGTGCTAGGACCAGGGCACCCTGAGTACTGTGAGAGTACTGTGACCACCAGAACAGGACTACAGAGAGTCCAGAGGAATGCCCTTCATTCCTGCCCATTTCCAAGAGTGGAGTCTGGTCGGGAAGGAAGGCCTCTGGGATCATAGTTCAAGGCAGGCAGGAGCTTGGAGGAGCTGAAATGAGCCCTGCTACACAGATCTGGGTGTGCGGTGACGACGGAGAGCCTGCAAGAGTAGACGGATGTGGCAGAAGAGTTAGGGCAGGCTGTGGGGTCTGCCATCCTGGGTCTGACAGGAAGCCAGAGCCAGCACTGTCTCACTGCGCCTTTAGGAGCTGCACGAGTCCTTGTCCTCCAAGGAAGGCAGTCCTACCCCAGCCTCGGCTTAAAGAGGAGAGGAGAGGAGAGGCCAGACCCAGGCCCCGACTTACACCCTCTGTGTGCAACCTTCAAAACTGGGCAGGACACTGCTGCCCCAGCAGCAAGAAAGACCAAGTGGTTGATGTCCCAAGTGGTCATGCTCGACCCACAGGGTCCTGCAGAAAAGCGTGGAGGGGGAGGCAAGGGTTTCTTAAACAGGACAGAAAGATGTAAACACAAATGGAGTCATGAGAGACAGACACAGATTAAGACTCCATCTGTCTGTTCCTCACAGTACATTAGAGTGTGAAGGGACTGGATGAGCTACCCGCGGAGCACTTGTATACTGAGCTGGCCAACCAGCTCCAACTCCTTTACAGACAGCTCTGACCCCTCTGAACAGAGCTCACGCTGTCACTGAGCTCTCTAAGCAGGGTTGGGAGGAAACGCTGCTCCCGTATCTCTCCAGCTAACAAGAGTCGGTTCTCACAGTTCCATCCTCCACAGAGTTAATTCATCCACACTCCACCTAGGTTGCCCCGCAGGTCAGTTGTCTGGAGCAACTGTCTGGAGACAGCCCCGACAAGCTTGGTACAGTGCGGATACACACAGATGACTAAGGAACAGAAGAAGAGCTCTAGTGTACTGCTCACCAGGGAAATGGCAGGAGGGCCACAGGGAGAGGGGTGACACTAGAACGACCATTTGTCCAGGGTAGGCATCCCTAGACTAAACACTCAAAGCCTGAAGCCTTTTGAGAGATGGCGTGGAAGAAGTTCGGACTTCAGAGCATTTAGGATGTCAGGATTTCAGAGGAGGAGGCTCAAGCGGTAGAGTCTATGCAAATATCCCCAAATCCAAGACTCTGAAATCTGAAATGCTTCTGTCGCTAAGCAAAAGGGACCTCCAGTCAGTGCGGGTGAGCATACGGAGCTGCTGGAGATCTGATTTGACTTTTTTGTTTGCTTTAAATATTTACTTATTTTGAATTTTGTGTGTGTAAGTGTTTTTTGCCTGCATGTATGTCTGTGAACCAGATGAATTCCTACTGCCCACAGAGGCCAGAGGAGGGGTGGGAGTCTCTAAAAGTAGGACTACACGCAGTTGTAAGCTGTCATGAAGGTGCCGAGAATCGAACCTACGTCCTCCGCAGCAATTGCTCTAAACCACTGAGCCATCTCTCCAGACCTCAATTTCACTTTTTAGTTGTCTTTTATAATTGAGAACAGCTAGCTTTTGTATAAAAAAAATCTCCTTAGTAAGTATCTCTTATATTAATAAATGCTGCCAAATCGAGTCGCCAATGTTTTTACGTCTTCTAAATGGAAAAATATAAAACCAGGGCAAACGGTATCCCCTGGCTTATACTGCTAGAGACATAGTCAGGGATGTGGCAATGTGCGGAGAGGCTGCGTGGATATCTGTGTTGGGATCTAGTAAATCCTCTCTAGAGCTGGGCCAACAAAAGTGTGTATGTATGGGTGACGCAGGGCACAAGAACGCCCACGGTCCTGTCAGAACCCCCGGATGACCGTGGGGGGGGGGGGGCAGTTCTGTACTCATGCACTGAAGAATCAGAAAGCAAGGGGAACACAGGACGCATGTGACAGCATGGTGACCATCTTAGTCAGTGTTCTCCTGTGAAGAGACGCCATGACCACAGCAACTCTTTTATATATATATATATATATATATATATATATATATATATATATATATAAAGCATTTAATCGGAGGCTTGCCGAGGGTTCCAAAGCTTTGGTCCCTTATAGCCATGGTGGGAAGTGTGGTGGCACACAGGCAGCTGTGGTGCCAGAGACAGAGGTGAGGGAAGAGAGAGCAACAGTGAGCCTGGCTTGGGCTTCTGAAACCTCAAAGCCCACCCTCTGTGACACACTTCCTCCAACAAGGCCACACCTCCTAATCCTTCTCAAGCAGCACCACTTCCTGATAACCAAGCATTCAAATCCATGAGCCTAAAGGGATCATTTTATTCAGACCACCACAGTGACTGAACCCAAAGAGGCAGGGCAGAATGCTTAGTAAAAACCACACACACACACACACACACACACACACACACACACACACACACACTAAACAAACAAAAGCCCACATATTAGAGCCCCTCAAAAGAAAAGCCACACTCTAGTGCCAGAAGCTGGAAATGGTCATCCTGAGGAGCAAGAGGCACTTCTGGGTATGTCCAGTCAGCAACCTGCTTATTAATCGTATTTGATAATCGTGCTTATTAAATTCCCCTGCTTAACTTTCACTAAAAGTTCAAAACTACATAAAGAGTTTTTTGAAATGCACACACACACACACGGCATGTACAATATCCCTACAACATGGGATAAAGCACTGCCTATCCAGTGGCGCCAAGCCTTCCCGAGGAAAAAGCAAAAGCAACGCTTAGAGCAGGTGTGGCCATCAAGTGCTGGCTTCTCCCTCAGGGCACCGTGTGCACAGAAGAATGCAGAAAAGGAAGGGCCACACTCTACACAGGCGTGTCCTGCCCGCAGCCCAGGACTTACAGACACAGGCTGAGAACCCAACAGGCAAGCAAACAGAAGTGGCCAACAACAGGAAGTGAAGTAGGACTTCTCCAGTGCCAACAAGCACGAGCTCTACCAAGCACTAAATCCCCAGCAGGCTTCTTATCATAACTGGTGTGTGTGCGTGTTCATGTGTGTGTTCATGTGTGTGTTCACATGTGTGTCTGTGTTCATGTGTGTCTCTGTATGTATATGTGTGTGTATTCATGTGTATGTCTGTGTGTGTGTTCACATGTGTGTCTGTGTGTGGTCCTGTGTTCCTGTGTGTCTGCATTCATGTGTGTATTTATATGTGTGTTATTTTTTGAGACAGAGCTCTAACTGAACCTGGAGCACATTGATTGACTAGAATGACTGACTGGCTAGCATGGATGGACAATGAGCACCAGGGATCTGCCTGTTCCTCAGCTGGTTACACACACAAAAGCCAAGCTTCCATGTAAGGGCTAGGGATGTGAGCTCCGGTCCCCGTGCTTGCATTTTACTGACTTAGCCACCTCCCCAGCTTTAGACCTAGTTGGAAAACTACAAACATATCTTCATGGAAAGGTCAGTGAATAAAATTTCTGGTAGCCACTATCATTTTAATGATTTAGTTTCATCTTCCATTTTCTACTTCATTTAAATAAGACAGGACAAGAAGGTGCAA